TCTTGGCTCCAAAATGGCAGAAATCGGTTCTCTCTTTTGGATCAACAAGCTATCCCCATAGATCTATAATATAGATTGTATTTCACTTCTGGTCCATTGGAAGATTTTTACCAAGCCCTCCGAAATATGCACGATTTCCAAAAGACCCCTTCACACAAAGCTTTTCAGCAAGCTAAAGTGCTTTAACTTTTAACTTTTGTAAAAAAAAATTCTTAAAATACTAGAACCACTATGATTAGTGTATCCTTGAATATTATGTTTTTCTAAACTATCTAGACTTTCAAGAATCTCATGTATACATTAAAAAAAATTAACTTTTTTAGGCAGAGACTTCCATATTTTTATTGTTCTTAATCTTTGAAACCCTTTCCTCAACAGTGTAGTCAATATATCTAGAATTTACAGCCAACGTGGATTGTTGTGAATTTTCTAAGTTTGTCTTTTTTTGTTCTAGGAAGTCTCTTTTGAATGTGCCAGTCTTCTCGCTACGTTAAGTGACCAAAGTTGGGATCATGGCACATCAGCGAAGAATCTGCATTCTTCTCTGCGTGACGATTGCTGTGTACAGTATAGTGTCCATGTATTTGTATTCTAGCCCTTATTCTAAACCTACAATAAAGAAACCAGCAGGTGAATTGTGTGCTGGAGTAACAGCCCGGAACGTAATCACAGCTTTACAAGGTAACAGAGTATTTATTGTATCTCCCTACCACGACCCACGAAAGCAAAACGTGACTCGTGTCCTCGGAATTGTTCATCATGAAGTTAAAGAACTTTACTGTTACTTCTGCAAAAATAGCAAGTCTGTGCACATTGTAAAAGCTGAAATAGATATACACGAGGATAGATTTGGTTTCCCATATGGTTTGGCCGACATAATTTGTCCAGAGCCACCAAATTCTAATGCTAAATACATCTACCTTCACGATTCTAAAGTGAACAATCTAACCGGACTGACAAAGTTCAGGATACAAAATCAGGAATTCCCTCCATATTCTGCAAATTTCACAGTTTGCATTTCTACAATGTTTGGAAATTATAGCAATACCTTACAATTCATACAGACCATTGAAATGTACAAGTTACTGGGTGCCCAAAAGGTAACCCTCTATCTAAAAAGCTGCAGTCCTCAAATACAAACTGTCTTGAAGTATTATACAAAAGAAGGGACATTGGAAGTGATTCCATGGCCAATCGACCAGTACCTGAAACCTTCCCCAAGATGGAATTATAACAATGACACCACCGAAATTGGTTACTATGGACAAATAACCACTTTAAATGACTGTGTTTACAGAAACATGTATAGGAGCAAGTATGTATTGCTCAATGACGTGGATGAAATAATTCTACCTTTCAAACACCAAAACTGGGAGAAGATGATGGAGAGTCTTCAAGAAGAGCACATGGATGTGGGGATTTTTAGGTTTGAAAACCATATATTCCCACAAACTGTAGCCACTGAGGGCAACTTTTCTGACACTTCTTCGTGGAAGGAGGTGCCAGGGTTCAATATACTCCAGTACATATACCGGGAACCAGACCGAAAAGATTACTTTAATGCTAAAAAAATGATTGTAAATCCAAGGAAAGTTATCCAAACATCAGTGCATTCTGTTCTAAAGAGTGACGGGGCTTCTATCGATGTACCTCTAGATGTTGCCCTTGTTTACCACTGCAGAATACCACTCCAGAAAAACTTAAC